CCAAAAGACCGAGTGGAAGATGTATTAAAAGAAATACACGACGGAACCTCAGGGGCACATTTCGGAGTTAACAAGACTTTGGACAAAATTCGGGAACGTTTTTACTGAGTTCACTACTAACTAAGATCTCGGGGGCCCATGAAACAGTACAACGTCGGTCTTCCATTTGAGAGAATAGCGATAGATGTAGCAGGACCGTTCCCAGAGTCAGAGCGTGGTTACAAATACATCTTAGTTATCATGGATTACTTCAGTAAATGGCCAGAAGTTTTTGCTATTCCCAATCAAGAAGCCATCACTGTTGCGCAGGTGCTAGTGGACGAAGTTTTTAGTTGTCATGGTGTGCCACGAGAGTTACATTCAGACCAGGGACGAAACTTCGAATCTGCCATCTTTAAGAAAATTTGTGAGATCATGGGAATCCGTAAGACCAGGACAACACCTTTACATCCACAGTCTGATGGCATGGTAGAACGATTTAATAAGACCATAGAGGAACACCTGACAAAAGTGGTCGCAAAGAACCAGCGTGATTGGGACAAACACTTGCCTCTGTTTTTAATGGCTTATAGAGCAGCTGTTCACGAGTCAACAGGTGAAAGTCCAGCCAGAATCGTCTTTGGAAGAGAACTCAGGTTACCTTGCGATTTGATGTTTGCGATACCTGAAGAAGAACGGAGAGAAATACGAGATTATGCCGACGAAGTAAGGGCACGACTTCTGGGTATTTATGATTTTGCTCGGGAGCATATTCAGCTAGCCAGTGACCGGATGAAGAACAGATACGACCTGAAAGCTAATTCAGCGGGATTTCAAGAAGGTGATTTAGTGTGGCTGTATAATCCAGCTAGAAAGAAAGGAGTATCGCCGAAGTTGTCTTCAGCATGGGAGGGACCCTACAAAATAATCAAGAGGATCAATGATTTGGTTTATCGAGTCCAGCGCAACACCAGGAGTAAGATGAAAGTTGTACATCTGGACAGATTGGCGAAACATCATGGGCGCGAAGTTGATCGGGACGATCAACCTTAAGAGGAGGGCAGTGTTACAATAATGCTAAACGCTGTTGCTAGAATAATAAGGCGTCCGCCAGGCTGACAAGAATCTATGGTGAAAATACTAGAATCTATCGAATTATTCTACTTTAATTTGGAAAATTAGATTATCGTGTGTATTCTAGATTTTAAAGGAATAGATTTAGGGATATATAAGAAGGCCGGCATTGATTTGTAGGTAAGTTAAGTTAAAGTTTGACTGTGATACGATTTAAATAGTGATTATTGCGAGTTCAATTGTTGGGTTAGTTATTAAAGTAATTAGTGTCAGAGTGTATTGTTAAGTGGAATAAATTATTGCTGTGTTAATTGGACTTTGATTTTTGGAATAAACGAAACGAACAACGAACCCAAGATTTCTGTCAGGCAACCCAAAGCCGTGACAGTATTTTTACAACAAACGTTATCAACGGCCAACGTAATTAATAAATATAAAAAGTGGATTAGGAGTGAAATTGGAACAAATTCGGAGAAAAATGATATGTTTCACACAATAAAAAATCAATTTATGGCCGTTTCCACCAACTATTTTAGGGGAGCCCTAACGATAAGTATTCCGTTAAATCAATAAACTACAACCATAATGTATCCTACCTTGGATCGATAATGTACGGTTTTTCGGAGATCAAATGTGGCAACCCTAGGCACAAAACATACCACCTCTAGAAAAGTATCTGCAATGTTACGTACCCACCACTCTTACATGTAGCGTGATACCAAATTTCTGCAGCGTCTTCCATGAGTGCGTCCAATAGGACGGCGATTCTAATGCCAAAATCTACTTTTTCCCTTCTATCGGCGATGCCAAATCTGGTGGTCCCTGGTTTTTTATGCTTATTTTTGAATTTTCGTAAAAATTCTTGAATTTATTATTTTCAGATCGTATTATCTATCTACCACTTCCACTTCCGTTCTAGGAGCTTTTTCTATTGTATTATTTATGCGTTATTTATGCCAAAAGTGATAAACCCCAGTTATCCAATCAAAATTCATATAACCATTTCTAGACTCAGTTGAAAGCACCTCCAAAAGTTACTTTACCGCGGCCGATTTTGAACGTGTAGCCAACCGTTTTTCGCACGCTGGAGCCGAACTTATTTATTTATTTATTTATTTTTCTACTGACGTTTCATAATAGCAACTTTTCGATTGTCATTTTAGTTTTGAAACGACATTCTTTTAAGCACTGAGTGCGTGAAAGTTACTTTTAAGCACTCAGTGCGTAAAAGTGACTTTTGAATGCGTAAAAGTGACTTTTGAGTGCGTAAAAGTAATTTTTAAGCACTAGTGCCTAAAAGTGTCATTCATTATTCAGAAATAAAAAACACACTAAACACATATTTGAATTTTGTTTTGTATTTATTATGAATGAAAATGAAATTACTGAATTGAACGTTTGGGTTAATCAAAACAGAACTTTGTGTTGTTACCTACTTTCTAGGATTTTAATTATTGATGTCGAATCTTGAAAAAAAATCGCATGAAAAGTGTCAGGTGTCAAGTAAAAGCAGGAAACAAAGATTTTGGGCGTAATCGATTTATTCACATGAAATAAAATTTGGTTTTTTTATTATTAAATGCCAGTAGAAAAAATCTTGTATACAATACGTTACGAAACGATGTCTTTTAGTCACTCGACGTGTTGTCCAACAATTTTCACGTCGCGTGCCTAAAAGACGCTCATTTCGTAACTTATTGTATAAATAGCTATTATTTATTTATTGACAGGTACATCTTACATACACAATAATTTGTAAAGTCCGTTGCATGGTTCTTGAGCTACGACTACTGAATAGACAGAAAGAACAATTGGCTATTGCTGCGTTGTCATATCAATAATAATATTTATTATTACATGAAAATGAAGGAAATTTTATTGCAATTTTTATGTATTAATAAATATTATCGATATAACTGACAACGCAGCAATAGCCCATTGTCCCCTCTGTCTATTCAGTAGCCGTAGGTCAAGAACCATGCAACGGACTATAATTACATATACCTATAAGAGTGCCTAAATCTAAAAGACAAGAAAAAATACCTAAGTAAAAAAAAATAAAAGACAGAACATAACAATAATAAAAACAACAATAAAATACTAAAAATAACAAAAAAAGGAACGGACAGATGCCTTGTAAAGCCCGCCGAGGTACTTATGCCAAAAAGAACGATTTGATCTATTTTTACATGAAAAAATCTTGTAACCATAAAGTCTAAGGTTTATCTTTGGTACATGAAAAGAAAACTTACATAATTTATCAATAAGGATGACTTGTACTTAAGATTATTGACTATGTTGTAAATGAGTAGGACTGACTGCATACATCTTCTACTGTGTAGCGATTGAATCTTAAAATCATCCAACATATTCCTATATGACACCAACAATGGGTATACATTATAACTTCTGACATAAAGATATCTAAGAATTCTTTTCTGTACCATTCTCTATAAGGTTGATGTTAACTTCGGTCTGAGGTGACCAAACAACCGCAGCGTATTCCAAATGAGGTCTGACCAAACAATTGAACAGTTTTACTACAGAATCGATCCTTTCGAAATGCCTTCTATTTCTAATTATAAACCCAAGCGCTCTGTATGCTTTATAATACTATTATAATGACTAGAAAAATTTAGGTTTGACTGAAATTCAACTCCTAGGTCTCTACACTTATCTTGTCTTGTAAGTGAAGCATTGTTTATGAAGTAATCGAACTTAATAACATTTACTTTACGTGTATAAGTTATCACTGAGCATTTATCAGCATTAAGATACCTACATTTTGTTTAACTGAAACCAACTGGATACTGAATCGAGATCACTTTGTAGCTTTCTACAATCTTCAGCATCACAAAATTCTTGAACACAATATGCCAATTTTAGCTTGGCTTTAGCCGTTTTTGAACGCAGCCCCATGAACTCTGCACTCTGATCTTCAGCTGGCTCTGACTTGACTGAGAATAGTCTAAGATATCTGTTTCCACGCCATCTCTAACAAATATAATGTCACACGAAGACCCAAAAAAAAATTTTTCACTGTTGCGAGAGTTGTAATTACAGAGGCAATGTCGAACATCCTGCCACTTATTGGAAAAAAAAAGATAATTTCTTTATAAGAATAGCTACAGGCCAGCAGTTTGGATGCAGTGAATTTTCTCCTGGTGCTATTTTAGAAATAACCATTATTGCATTGTCCTCCTTAGACCTAACTCCAGTTTTCTCCACAGAATATCAATGTGATAATTATTGTTCAAGTACTCTCCAGTCTCCCCAACGTTACGCAAATCTAGTGAGAAAAAGATTGAAGTTTGTGGAGTATAAACCACTGGCTTACCATAGTTCTTCTTCTCACTCTTTTGGGTTTTTTCTTTGGTTGTTTGTTGTTTTTACCTTACTTACGTACTTGTTGTACCTTACCTTACCTTGACTCACTCGACACTCAAACCTCCGAAGCTTTTATTCCGGAGCAATTCCAGGCGTTTCAGCACATCACCCACTAAATAATGTCATACAAACAGACAAAAATAGAAAAAGGTCATTTTTTCGTTCCTGAATACCAAGGCTATCTACCAGCTTATCTTCACCAGGGTCAATATAATCATCTACAAAGAAAAGTGGAAAAATAATCCTTCTTGACTCCAGTGTGTTGAAGGAAATTCAAAAGCAATGGGTTTCTGTCTACAGATTGGTTCTAAAAACCAATCAAACTGTACTGAAGTAGCCAAAGAACATGGTGCGCGCATTTACTGTTTAATAAGAACTGCTGTAAAATTAAAAAACTCGGTGATTTCCTAGTAATAATTGCAATAGGGGTTGGGTTTGTTTTGTTTAAAAAAATAACAAATAAAACAATCATTTTTATTTAGTATTTAAAGTTTATATCTAATATAAGTTTAATAAGAAATATAATTATTCAACTCGCGTGTATTTTTGTTCATAGACGAGCTGTTATAGTCGAGGCAAAGTATAAGGAGTAACTTTTTCAATTAAAAAATCATATGCTCAATTTACTGTTTATTTATTTTCAATGTAAGGCGTCATAGGAATTATTATGTATCTACAGTTAAAAGTTTAAATGGGCGAAATCAGGAATCGCTCATTAAAACTTGAGAATTTTGGGGGCTATTTATGATCCTGCCCAGACTTTAATTCTAGTTTGTTATATTTCACATTTGGCCATACATTAGACAAAAAATCATTTAATCTTATAAAAATTGATAAACCAATCCAATTCTAATCCATCAACTCTCCATTGTCAAACTTTTCTACATCATAAAAATTCGCTTTCACTTGCCTACCACCAAAGAATCGTCCGTTAAGATCCACCACTGCCTTTATGGCACTTTCGATCCTTTGGAATTCAACAAAAATCCTTACAGTTTCCTCTGGAATAACATTAGGAATTTCTTGAATACAACAACGGGAAACCGGGCCGTATTTAGTGTTGCATTCGTCTCTGACTTCTGGTTCTAAGTCATCGTCTACTTGACCTGGGCCCACCATATTTTTGAGCAAAACAACCTGTAACGAATAGTGATTTAAAATTATAATAATTTTTTTTAAGAGAGAAGATAAGATTATTGACGTCGATATGGATTGTTGTGCCACATTGTGCAGAAAATACTTTTGACACAGATAAGCTTAACAATTGCAGATTTTAAAATTTTTGTAAATACATATTGTAAAAACTGCAAATAGGGAAGGCATATATTTTGTGTCCAAAGAAACGATCTATGGAAAGGAAACATTGATCAGTGAAAAGATGGTAGATTTGGTGTACAATGACTTTACTCTTTGATTGGAAATCTTACCTTGCTAGGATTCTTCACAATTTCGGTAATAGGTGGATCTTTTTTGTCAGCAACAGGATCAACAGGCGGCGGAGGTGGCATAATATCCTTTTCATGGACAATTCGACCGCCTCTTTTCGATGTTTTCTCAACTTGTAATGCACTGGACATACCTTGCTCCATTCTGCCAAGACCTTGTCCCTCTTTGAAGCCGTATCGAGCCATAATTTTGGCAGCTACCGAGCCGCCATATGATCTAGGTTGTGCTTTGTTAGGTAAAATAGGGACAGATTCGGGTGAAGGTTCCTGTAAACTTGGTGGAGGTGCAATGGCAGCACCGCCAACAGGACGATTCGTTTTTGGACGCATCTCTTCTTCTTCTTCCGAAGCCCATCGACCTAGAGGTAAAAAATATATATAATAACCTATATAGAATAAATTTCAAATTATTGTTTCTTACCAGCAAATCCAGTTCCTAATGGAGGCTGACTCATTTGAGGCGTAGCAGCAGGCGGGATAATAGTTAAACTACGTGGTGGACTAGCATCTTGCTCATCGAACCTACTTTTCCGCCTCGAATCTTTTTTCCTGTCACTGTCGCGGTCCTTGTCTCTTTCTCTATCCCCGAATCTATCTGCACCTCTATCTCCAAATCTATCAAGAGGTCTATCAAATCTATCGCCAAATCTGTCTGATCTATCACTAAATCTATCCCTATCACTTGACCTATCTCTATCGCTGCTTTTATCTTTATCCCTTAATTCCTTTTTGAGTTTCTCATATTGATTTGGCCAAAATGGATCGTATTCGTCTGTAACCTGTAATAATAAAAGTGCAATTATGAGTATACCAAATAAAATATTATTAATTAAATATAGAACACCTAAGTATATCGCCCCTCATAAATAACTGGCATTCTCCTCGGGAAATTGTCAGTGAGACCAAAAAAATTCATTCGAAAAAATGAGTTTACGCCAAATCAAAACAACAGTCAATTGTATTTTGGTCCAAGGGTTATACATTATTATTATTATAAATCATTTCCTGCTTTCAAAAAAGTAGACAAACTTAAATGTTCCCAGTGGCTCTATAATAATTTTTAAGAGTAAGCGAGTTCAAATGTTCTTACTGGACTGACTCTATAATCTTCTTCTTCTTTCTAAGCCATCTCTCATCCAATCCTGGATATAGACCTTTTCCATGCCTCTCTGTCTTGTGCCGTCCTCATCCACTTCTTTCCAGCTATCTTAATGATGTCATCGGTCCATCTCAGTTGTGGTCTGCCTATTCCTGATTTTGTCTGATGCAGTCTCCATTTCGTAAGTGCTGCGTTCTGTCTCGCCACATATTCAACCCATTTCCACTTAAGGCTTGCCACTCTCTCTAGAATATCTATGACTTTGGTTCTGTTTCGTATTGCATTATTCCGCATTTTGTCTCTAATAGTGATGTATGGCCCTTTCTATAGATCTCTGGGTGACCCATAGTTTCTCAGCGGTCTTTCTATATAGTCAGCGCCATGGTTTCCAGTCCATAGGCGTGCACCAGCAAAATTCAACTATCATACACTTTACGTTTAAGGCTAAGGGGCACGTCGTTGAGATTCCTATGTGCAACCTCCCCAGTCTGATTTTTTTTTTCCTAGTTTTATGGTGTGTCGTGTGTCAGATAAACATAATGGTTGACTGCATTCAGATCGCTCAACATCTATCTCAATTGTGTGAGCTAATCAATGCCATCTGCGAATCCCAAGTGGTTCAACCCGTCAATATTTATACATTTTTCTTTCCATGAGAGTTCCTTAAAGATACTTTCCAAAGAAACAATTTGGGAGAGAGTGTCACCTTGTCCGACGCCTTTTTTCCTTTTTTCCGAAGTATTTTGTCTGTCTTAAGCTTAAGGTCATTATTTACCTTAACATGAAATTTAGCGTTTTTATAAATATTACTAATGAGGGTGGAATACCTTGAATATACCCTAAGAAATGCCAATGTTTCGATTGTTTTCTGTATTAGCGTCCGGATTGTCCAAAGGTGGTCTAGTGTTCCCAAATCCCTTTTTGAACCCTGCCTGCTCTACTGGTTCAAATCAAATCAAATCAAAGTAAGCTTTATTGTGCAGAAAAAAAATATTTTTCATTGACAAAGCAATTGTTTACAATAAATACTAATTACTACCATTATTACATTTATAAGGATTAGGTATAATGTTAACAATAAAGTGTAATGTAAAATGTATCGTTACAAGATAAAAAAACAAAAATCTACAACATAAATACACCAACAATTTTACAATCATAAAATTTGACCACTTTGATCACAAAACATCAGTAAATAAATAAAAATAAAAATAAAAATATAAAATATAAAATATAACTCGCAGCTACCAATAATCTTAACCCTCGTACAATTCTCTGAGACCATAGTAAGCTCTGGCGACTAAAAACCGCTTAACTGACACACGAAAGACGCAATAGTCGTTGATGTGTCATAGTTCTTGGGGTAAATGATTAAAAATTTTAATGCTCTCATAAATAATTGAATTTTTTGTCAATGCAAGTTTAGGAATAGGTAGGGGCAATTGATTGTGTCAAAGGCCATACGCTCTCTCTTGCACAAAACCAGAAAATTTATTAAATATCAAACTGACCGATTCAAGAATGAAAATGCAAGGTACTGTCAATATTTCCTCTTGCTTAAATAGAGGTCTACATGTTTCTCTACAGCCCACGCCTAGAGATTAAAGTGTGGTAACGTTACCGCGGTAACGGTAATTTTGGTAAGGTAATTTTGGTAATTTAACCCGACAAATTTCTTTACCGGTAATTTTCAGAAATGCTTCCTGAATGAAATCACATTCGGGCGACAATCCTTTTCATGCATTATTCGCCATCTAGTTGTGAATCTGTAACGCGCTTTCACGGTTGGCATAAACAAATAGTTATTTACCCAACAAGTTCGGAAAGTGGTGCTTTTCCGCACGCGACGGCAGTTGGCAAGCTGTCAAGGGTGGAAAAGACATTTTTCGCAAGAGTTAGGTGTAATGTTTTTCCACGACTGTTTCTCTCCATCTTATTTATCAAAAATTGACCAAAAAAATTTGTGTAAGATCTAGGTTTTCTGAATGGAAAATAGTACCTATAGATAGTAATTTGATTTGAAGAAAAAAATATGTAGTACCTATATCTTGAATTAAAATATTGTGCTTGTAGGAAAAGCCTATTTCAAAAACTCAGTGGCTTTTTGTTGACTTCTGAGTTTGAGATTATTTGGAATGTCAAAGAGTCAAAGATCTTAGAGCACAAAAACCCTACAAAAGCACAACTCTCGCAAAAACCCAAAAAACCAATAGAAACTTCCAAAATTCCGGGCTTTTGCCAACGCTGCACGCTTAAAGAAATTAATTTTTTTGACAGAGTTAGGTATCTCTTATGCTATACTTATTCAGATCATTTTATTTATTTGTTTTCTTTTTGCCCTTTGAAAGTAGGTACCTATTTACTTTACTTTACTATTTAGTTTAGCACCAGATTAGGAATTTATTTCTGTTTTATTTTTGTTTGATTTTCTTTGCTCGTTTTTCGTTCTAGGAATTAGGTATTATTATTTGTTTAAATATTGTAATATTCTACAAGGTTAGGTTTTACAACAAACAATATTATAATAAATGGTTGTTAAGGTAAAAAACTCTGGAAATATATAATCCTTGAACATATACATCTATATATATAAAAATCAAAGTTCACGGGGTATCCGGATATGCGCTCCAAAACCACTTATCCGATTACGATGAAACTTTGGTAGGTTGTTATGGCCATCCCAATGAAGGTTTGTGGATAGGTTACGCATCTCGGAAAAAGAAATTAATTTTGAATTAATTATTAATTTAATTAGGCAATCCAACGACCTGTCCAAATGGCGTCTGGTTGGCAAACAATAAAGAAAAAACATATGTTTTTTTTTGGCAGGATTAAGCCTAGGACCCATAACAGCGAAATTTGCTCTTTTTTGACATTGCTTCGACAATTTGACGTTTTATGCGTGAATCAAATGTCAAAAAAAGAGCGAATTTCGCGATTATGAGTACAAGGCTTTATCAATACACGAGGCGAGTACTCAAATCTGACACTTTTCTGACATCGTTGACATGTAACAACCCGTATTCTAACCTCACAAAATTTCAAAATGCCGGCTGGTTGGCAAAAGTCACGTGGTTTGGATTCCCTAATTGTAAACAAACTCATTCACCTTACATAACAACATAACCCAACTTTTTTTGACAGCATGAAACAACGTTGCCATATTTCATTTATTTAGGCTTGCATTCAACCGACGTAACTTTATTATTTTTTGAATTCAAGAACGGCTGGACCGATATTGAATTAATAACACGTATCTCTATATAAGGTGAATTCGATTGACCCAGATTAGATCGATTTGGGTTCAATTTAAGTGAACTTCTCCTGATCTAGATCATTTTTTTGTTGAACCAGATCAATCTAATCCGGTCAATCGAATCGGCTATAGAGGAGAGTGATATAGGCTATTTTTTATCCCGAAAAAAAAAGTTCGGTTGCGTAAAACTCTGATACACTGGAACGCCTATAAACAGCTCGAGGCGCTCTAGAGCAGCTCTCTCTGGAGTGCTTAAAATGCGTCACTGAACTCACTGGCAAGCGACTATGATATCGGATTAAAAAAAAAAAATTAAATAAAAAATCAACAACAAAATTTGAAAAGAAGTGTATTATTTCAAAATGTATTTACATGCTGGCAACGCAGCGGGTCATTAGCTAGTATAGTATATAATATAGTCATAATTGTTTATTTTATGAAATATTTCCAAAATTACCGAAAAATTACCGGTAAATTACCACTGAGAAAGAACAAATGAAAATTACTGGTAAACTTCAATCTCTACCCACGCCACATAGATATCTTATGGGTCTCTTTTGCAGTATAAACACTGATTGAATTGATCTTTGGACAGAGTATCCCCAAAACGCTATTCCATATCTCACATGTGCTTCAAACAATGAAAAGTACGTCTGTCTGGCGGCCGATTTATCAAGTTCATGAGAAATGGTTCTGATAATATAGCAGGCACTCGCTAGTTTTTTGGTCAAGCAATTAATGTGAGGCTCAAACTTCAACTGGGAATCAATGTGCAGACCCAAAAACTTGACCGTGGTTCTATTCTCTAATGTTTCGTCCTGTAGTCTGATGTCAGTTAGGGCACACTTAAATGTCAGTATATTTGTTTTCTGTATATTGAAACGAAGCCTATTGGCATCACACCATCCCTTTATCTCCAAAAGATCGCTCTCTATAACTGCCTTGAAGTTGGCTACATTTTCTCTTGTAGTCCATAATGCACTTGTGTCGTCGGCAAATGCTACCAGCCTTGCAGATACTGGCAGGGAGAGCAAGTCATTAATGTAGATAAGGAACAGAATCGGCCCCAAAACCGAACCCTGTGGCACTCCGTGCAAGATTCCCTCTGCCCCCGAATCAACACCATTCGTCCGAACAAACTGACTTCTCCCCGAAAGCATTGATGCAAACCAGCACGACTCAGTCCCCAGGACACCATAATGACCTAGCTTTCGCAGCAGTATTCCATGATTAACTGTATCGAAAGCCTTTGAAAAATCACAGAATACTGCCGCTGCAACCTCCCTCTCATTCAAACCAAGGTACAAGCCCTCCAAAAATGAAAACATGGCATCACCCATGCCCCTGGACCCCCGAAAGCCAAACTGATTCTGACTCAGGATGTTATGTTCATTCAAGTATTCAAGCAGTTGATCCTTAATAAT